CCCTGGGCTGCGGGCCAGGCCGGGCTGGAAGCACCCAGGGAGCTGCGAGCCGCAGAGGGCAACGCGCGGACATGTGTAGTTAGCATAACTTTTGATTTTCTGCAGTTACCGTTTTAATTCCTGAACGAATTGGTGCTACCAGACGTTTTTGAAAGTAACATGCTCTAGGGAACTTGATTAACTTGATGTTTTATGCAACATAATTTTGGGGCACTTGGGGTTCGTGTGAATAAACATTTCTGCTTTAAAAAAAAGTCACACTTCTTTTGTGGTTAAAAGTAACGCTGGGGCAAATGTAATGCCATGGAATGTATTCCATGGTTATTGCGTTTAACATTAAATGCAAAAAACCTGAAGGAGTGTAGCCTAATGAAGGCAGTATATTGTTGGAGGGTAAGAAGACTTCATCACTAAATATAGCTTTTCCTGGTACAGTGTGGCTGGGCCTTAAGCAAGTTGCTTTGCTTCTTTGTGGTTCTGTAAAGCTAAACTGGTGTGGTGTGCTGCGGGGCAGCTTGAGAATTAGAAGTATTTGTAAATAACTTTAATAATTTAAAGCTCTGTTTAAACACTAAATGCTGTGTCCTTAATACAGGTATATGTAGTTTTGTTAACCAGTGGAAAAGCAATGAATATGCAGTTTAATTCTTTCAGCTGAGTTCAGTTGCACCTATTTGGTATTTACTGATGATTTTCTTGAAAACCTACCTCCTGGCTTCTTTTGCCAGGAGAATGCACTGACATTTTCAGGGAATCATTTCATGTCAGCAGCAATGCATTTCTGGGACTCTGTAGCTAATGACTTAAATAGTGTTTTCCTCAGACTACCTCACCTGAACTGCAGGTCATGAGAAATATTCCTGCACTAAACAGGAATAGTCAAGGCCATGTCCCATATGCATAATTAAATTTAACATAAATAATATAGGTTCAGTGATCTAGCAGTAGTGGAATTCATAAGACCACCGTGGTTTTTCTCTGTCTTACCTTAAAAGATATGTAAAGCATGCATTTTTTTCTCTTTAGCAGGTGAGAAGAATGAAAGGAAGGGGGGATGAAAGAATGTTGAACCTTTTTGTTTGGCTGTATGATGGAAGGAAACAGAGAAGCAGACAACCTCTGCAATAGATCATTTGGATGGCTTCAGCAACAAGAGAATGATGCTAAACCATGGCTCTGGAAACTTTCTAATTGCTTTTCTGCTGCTGAAAAGTCTTTGCCTTGCAGTGCGAAAACGGTAATTCATTGCTTTACTAAAAGCATAGTTGATATCCTGGTACAGAGCTGTATAACTGACGGCATTGTCGTTGCTGACTAAAGGGGGCAAGTGGGGAGGGGAGAAAGAGGAGATAGCAGTTACCATGGTAAGTACAAAATCTACCTGAGAACTTAAGGTCTTTAGCTGTGTTCACAGCGCTGTCATCAGTGTTGGTGAAAGCAGGCAAGTTGCTTTGCCTGAAAGGCTTTAGTCTCTATAGCTCTGTTTGGAATAATACAACTGACTGCTTAAAAAGTGTATAAGGCAGCTTCTTGAAAGCTCTATGAAGTTATTGCTAAAGAGTAGGGAAGTAGTTGTCATGCTTCCAGATTTTTATCAATTTAGTTTGGAGGCAAACTTAGAATTTTCTGAATTACTATTATTATATAGTAGTTACAACAGTTATGGATACTGTTCTTCATGAATGTCTGATTTTTCCTTCTTTCCATTTCTTTAAATGTTCCTGTTCTGTAACTGTATATGCTTCTATGCACTTCAGATGCAAAATGCTAAGGAGTAGAAAGAATAGTTCAACACAATGGCTGACTTGAGCAAGCAAGCTCCAGCTGTTAAGTAACACTCATTCGTGCACGTTCAGTCTGACTTTAAGTAAAAGACATGGCGGAAACAGATAAGCATGTATCCTGTTGTGTTGCTATTCTCATGTGTCAGGGGTTAGGAAGGGAGCTGCCATATATTCTGGAACTTAACATATAAACCAGTTCCAGACAGATTTTTGGCAGAATGTATCTTCAGTTCATAAGATGTGGCATCAGGTAGAGGAATGGTTTTGAACTTGGGTAATCAATTATTCATTACTGTGTAGTAGGAAATGCATTAAATTAATTTGGAAAGTAGAAGTTGTTCCAAAGTACAGGCCTAAAGCTCTGGAGCACTGAGTTGTATGCAGGTTAGCTCTACTGACCTTGACTACTGTAGTGCTTCTCATAACCTTGCTTAGTTTTCACTACTGCCATTTGAAAAAAAAAAAACCCTACCACCTAAAAACCTGTATTTCTCTCTATGCCTTTATGTCTGTACATCTTGATATCTTAAATCAGAGTAGGCGAAAAGTGCTTATAGTTGTGAAAATTGTCTTCTCTGTCCTCTGTTAGCTTACCTTCTTGATGTAATTTCTAGTTTTTTAAAGTCTTAGTCTTTTAATGTGTTACTTCTAAAACTAATACAATTTTAAAGTCTTTGTTCAAAATAAAAGGTGATTACTTATGTAGCTCCAAACTGTGGGGTTTTTTTACTTTACGTTGCATCCATCTATGTTTGCTCTTAAAGGAAATAAATCTTTTTTTTGCTTTGCAGTTGCAGAGTATCTCTCAGCCTAACAGTTTTCTCCTTTTCAAAAAGCAAGACCTTTCTATTTGGTTTACAGCTTTTTGGTTTTGTTCCTTCCAAAATCCACTGATAACCAATATACCTCAGGCTGGCACACATAACTGGCATGTTTCTTCTAATATTTTACATGTTCAGACAGTGAGGTAATAGTAATCATAAAGATAACACTTTTCAAAATTTCCGTTATCAAAATTGTAACAGTCTAAAAATATGCTTGCTTATACAATAAAATTGTTGGTTTATTTATGTATCTGAATGTAACTGAGCTTTCATTTTCCAGAAAGATTACATGGAGAACAAGAAAGCTGCTGTAGAATTGAAGGATGCTTCATCGCCTCATAATGCTGGCTCTAAACTGTTTCCAGCAGTACCGCTTCCTGATGTTCATCCTCTTCAGCAACAGCAAATACCACTTTCACCGGGCCCGAAAGTAAGCTGCTGTGCTCATGGCTCTGACTCTTCTTGTACTCCACAAATGCATTGTGGTGGTGGTGGTGGTAATTTGATTCACCCTAGCACAATATTAGACTCAAAAAGCACTGGGACGATTACTTGTCAAGTAGGGTCAGGATTTGCTTATCAGTCTGCATCTTCACTGAAGAACCCTCCAGCTAGAAGCAATTTGGCAGGCATTGCAAGTGAGTTCCCTGGCATGTGCACAGAAAACAGTGTATCTTCCTGTCAACATCTGCCCTGTTGTGGAAAACTCCATTTCCAGTCCTGTCATGGTAACATGCACAAACTGCACCAGTTTCCAGCCCTTCAGAGCTGCACATCTTCTGGCTACTTTCCTTGTTCTGAATTCACAAGTGGGGCTACAGGCCACTTGGATGAGCATATTGCACAGTCGGAGCTAACATCACGTGTGTGCGCCAACCCTTTGCACCTAAACATGGCACCTTCGGTTTGTTTAAAGGGCTCCCACTACTGCAATGACTGCTTGAGCAAGGTTTGTACATGTCACATTTCTCATTCATTAAGCATGGTATATGGTTAATGTTGAAATAATATTACTTGAGCAAAGCATCAGCTTCCATGGGTTGCAGCTTGCATCCTCCTTGTTCATGCACAGTCCAAATATACCAGGTATCCTTTTTGAAGATCTCTTTTTCTGAGGTAAAATTCAGTTCCAGTTCAATAGGAAGACAAAAGAGGCTGTCACAATGTTTAGCTCACAGGGGATCTGTAAGGTACTCGAGCAGAATTTTGACTGGATTTGAAAGACAGTTACCTCTTCTTGACAGCTCCAATTACAGTGTTCCATAGAGTGACTTTGACAAAAGGCTAACAACATGTACCCTTAGGCAGCTGATCAATAAACATCCATTTGTAAGTTGGGTGAAATGTCTGATGCTATAAGGATATTCTAGTTTTGTTTTGGTTTGATAGGTCTTGGTTCAGTCTTCCCAAATTTGTAATTTATACTTCAATACTGATTTGGTACACTTTACAACAGATTAAAACTGTGTTTGAATTTTAATAGGAATTTCAAGTGAAGTAATATACTCAACTTTGCAAGATGTGTTACTTAAACTTCCAAATTTGAGTTTCCAATATAGAAGTGAAATATCTTCATTTCAATAAACTAAATGGTGAATTCAGTACGTTTGGAATTATGACCACTATTTTTGGGGAGAGGGAGATGATTCAGCCTTGTATGGTTAATTGTGCTGATTTCACATGCTAGGTCTTTTTTTTTAGGATACATATTAGTACTTCTTAAAGATGGCATGTCTCAATGTGCCCAGTTTAATAGAATCTTCCCTTGCATTTGGAAATCTAGAGCTAAGTATGCTAGGAAAGACTCTAGGATAGAAGCTTCCTTCATGCAGTGATGGTATTGTTAATTAACTTTGTAGAGTACATCTGAACTTGCATTTGTTGCATGAGGGAAACTATGTTTCTAGCATGGAATAGTATGTGTTAATACTGTATACTAAATGAATATATATTTTGAAAAATTATCCCAACAGCCAACCAGGAACAGCCTAGTTGATGCTGCTAAAATCTGGCCAAATATTCCTCTTCCAAGTGCACAGACTGCACCTGTTCCTATCCCAATATGTAATGGCTGTGGAACCAAACGAGCAGGAAATGAGAAGAGTTTGCTGCTGGCGAGCAGCCTTGGCAAATCACCACAGAAATATGGTAAACCACATTTGTTTGAAACTTGCACTTAGTGGATGTTCTCCTTAAATATTGTTGCACATGAAGAGTTCTCTTAAATTGCACTGTTCTCTGGAAACTTTTATAAAAGTCATAGAAGACTAAACAGTAAAAAACCCAAACACTCTTGTTTCTGTTTTGCAAAGTCATAACTTGGACTTAGCTGTTTTGACTACCTAGTTAACTTAACTGTGTTGTTAGCATAGAGTTTTGATGTTTTTACTATTATATTTTTTACCATTTTAAGAACTAGAAAAAGAAAAATCTAAGGACTTGGAAGCAATTTTGTTCTGGTGGTATATAAATTATCTTCAGCCCTACTTTGAAAAGCCTTGTCTTAGTCTGTAGTGTCTATTGTCACTTCATATGTATTAAAGGTGTAATGTTTATGATTACAATATAGCTTTTTTCAGTGTTCTTGAGAGGAAAACACTGGGTGAAATAATTACATGTTCTTTCTACAGTGTTAGCACTGCTTCAATTACAGAATCATAGCTAGTATGAAAGTTACAAACTTAAAGTCACAGAAGAATAAGGAATTGGGTAGTTTTACTATCATTTTAAGACGACACCCAATTTTAGATTTTTTTTTAGGTGCAACACCCCAATTAAGTGTCCTTGCAAAATGCAATTCCAGTGAATGTTGTAGAAGAATAACTAGTCAACATACACACAAACAAATGTGACATTTGTCTGCTGTGCTTAATTTTATATTCTCGGCTAACTTTAATTCTTAGATTGTTTTTTGACCTGTGATGATTCTGTGTCATTCCTTGTGTTTCTTTTCCAGTTGTTTTGTGGGGGTGGAATAGGTGTATAATGTTAATTCAAAATTAAATAGATATTCAGAGTGCTGAAACACCAGAAACTTCATTTGCACTTCTTAGCCTGTAATAGCAAAAACTCTTAACCTCACTCTCATGATCTGTAGGATACCTTTGTGTTTGTTCCATACTGCCTTAATTTTCTATAATCACTGTCACTATAGTGGTAATCTCATCCAGTTTTGTTTAGATTCTTTATCTAATGCACACTGTAAATTTTTCATGTTTTACTTTGTTACTGATACAGCACCCACGAATTTAGTGTGACACTTCAGCCAATTCTCATGGCACATGCCATCTCAGCATTTGATAACACTTTTTTTTAAATACATTACTTTATTGTATGAGAGTTTAAAAGTAAAGATGAAGTTGTCTTGCATCTTTATCCTAACTTAACAGTGACTAAATTTCTGTTTAAGACTGATTTGAGATACAAAGTTTCTCCTGTAAAGAGAAACTTTGAAAACACCTGGTTTGGTTTTTTTGATTCCTTAAGAAAATAAAACTGAACTTGCATTCCTGGACATGTTGTTCTCTAAAGCATAAAGCTTCCCATGTGCAAAGTTTATAGTATGCTAAGTTTAACATTTTTGGTATTCAGAGATTAAAATGAGCTGTGTTGTTAAACCTGTACAGGGTCTCCAGAAGTTGCAATAACAGGCCAAGTTCTGGAAAACTTGCCCCCCATTGGAGTCTTCTGGGATATTGAAAACTGTTCAGTTCCCACTGGCCGTTCAGCTATAGCAGTTGTACAGAGGATTCGTGAAAAGTTTTTTAAAGGTCACAGAGAGGCAGAATTCATCTGTGTGTGTGACATTAGTAAAGAAAATAAAGAAGTTATTCAGGAGCTAAACAACTGCCAGGTATCAAAACGGTGTCTACTTGGTGTTCTTGCTTGAGGATTTGTGTAGTCTGAGTGCGCTAACAGTGATTCCTGTTCACTAAAGGTTTATGTTGGCTTCTGTGTTTTATAGTGCATGAGTTTGTAATTGGTTTATGGGTGGGGCCTTTAATGCTGAACTTCCCTGGTGTGATACTTTTTAAAACCGAAACTGATTCCATTATATGTAGGTTACAGTTTTAGCTTTAGTTTTAGTGTTCACAGAGGATTTTTATTTCATCCAGTAATAAGTGGTGGTGGTGTTCCTTGTGTTATCCTTCAAAGCTGTGACTAAATCACTAACTTTTTAACTTAACTTTTTTACTTTTGTTAGTGAATACTGTGTTGATTAGTGAGGACACTTGTAAATTAGTGGTATTGATTGGGGCACCCTTAACACTACGTATTTTTCCATCAATACCTTTTATTTCTTGGTATTTTTTTAAATTTTTGTGCAGGTTTCTAAGTCAGAAATTCCCTTCCCACCCCCTAAATTGCAGATTGGTAACAGGTTGACAGTTTATCCACTTGTGTGGTAAAATGAATTGATAGTGAGTACTTTCTGTTTGTCACCCCTCTATTTCAAATGAGGGTTTATGGAATGTTTTTAAGGTATGTAAATGGTGATCTTTAACACAGAACAGCAGAAGTCATCCCTCAGACATTGGTGAAAAACTAGGGTTGAAGTTTATGGCTCATTAGAACAGTCTGAGATCCATACATGTTGTATTTCATGCACGTGTGCATTAACTTATCTAAATAAAGGGTGCATGTGAAAGCTTGTATTTATGTTAATTTAAAAAAAAACCTAAATTTAAGCAAGCATAGTTCACATTCAAGCTTTTCTTTAGAGCAAATGTATGTATGTATTTCCACAGGTGACTGTTGCACACATCAATGCTACAGCAAAGAATGCTGCTGATGACAAACTCAGACAGAGTCTTAGGAGATTTGCTGATACACACACTGCACCTGCCACTGTGGTTCTTGTGTCAAGTAAGTGTTTCTGGTACTAATCTACAGTGCAGAATTCAGTTCCTCTCTTCAACAGTACTTTTGTATATGGCACTATTCTGCTTTCCAGGGGTTGTGTTTAGAATCAGCTTTAACTGATTTGCTTGAGAATCTTAATAATGTCAGTGGCAGCAAGGGAAAAGTAGGCACAGTAAGATGAGAACTTGGCTTAGTTAAATCAGCATTGGAATCTGATGTCTTGTTGAGCGTCAGTAGGTATGTGTATAAATACTGTCTAAAGTTAGACAGCTTCAGCAGGAAGCTAATGAAGTAAAACACATTGAGTCTTCCTTATGGTAATCTTTCAGAATGCTTTGAGCAAAATGTATTTGATTTGTGTTTTATTCTTGTAGCAGCCTACTATATAGCTAAATATGCAAGCCACTCAACTATTCTGTTGCTGTGTGTTGCTTTGGGTTTCTCCCTAAAGCTAAACAAATGTTTGTTATAGATGTATACAGTACCAGTCCAATGCCTTGCTGATAAATTGCTAGAAGTTGCTATTAAAAGGAAGCCCTTGTCTGAGACTGAATGCTAAGAGCTGATTTAAATTATGTCTATTGAGAAGCCTTGTAGCTGTTGGTGCTTTTTCATTGGAAATTTTCAGTGATAAATAGAACTTGTCAAGTGAGATCTGGGGTTTTGTTTGTTTAATCTGATTTTTTTTTTAGCTTTTTCATGTGTTTTCTTGTCCATTCTATTTTTCCTTTTTCTTTCCAGCGGATGTAAACTTTGCTTTGGAACTCAGTGACCTGAGACATCGACATGGTTTTCGGATAATTTTGGTACATAAAAACCAGGCTTCAGAAGCGCTCTTACATCATGCCCATGAGCTTATTTGTTTTGAAGAATTTATTTCAGACTTGCCACCAAGGTTACCACTGAAAATGCCGGTAAGGTTTTTTTAATTCTTAATGCAACGGACATTTCTAAGTGTCACCTTTCTTTTCTTTTTTCCCTAATTTAGGGGGAGAGCAGGCTGAAATTATGTGTGTGTTTTTTATGGTGAGACATGATGTCTGCTGCATATTTGACCATTGTCTGTATTTCAGTTACTACCATGTGGATGTATGCTTTCTGCTTTAAGACTGAAAAAATGAAATAATAAAAGAAGAATGTACTTAACTAAAATAAGTAAAATATCAAGGTCACATTCTTATCACTAAATATTTTATCAGATAATGTATTTTACATGCCTTTTTTTTCACTGGCAGAAAGTTAGGGTAAGAGCTTAGTTGTGCATTAAGACAGCTCTGTGATGCTTTCTTAACAGTTTTGAATGACTGTCTACTGTTTTCTTGGGTTTTTGTCTTCCTGATGATTCCATCTGGATGTGCTGTGTTGTCTTTGCACAGCACTCATGGCCTTTTCTTTCTTTGAAATAATTTCCTGAATTATGTGTTCGCATGCATGTGTAGAATATATAAAATTCTTGGGTTGCAAACAGCGATGCTTTCTTACCTGGAGAATTGATCAGGTATTGGTCCATTGATCAGGGACTCTGTAGTCTCTTCTGACTATAATTTATATTGGAGATGGAAGTTTGAGGATCTACCTTGGTATGAGAGTTTTCCAAACAAATTGAATGCTGCAAAAAGAATGACTTGGAGGGAGTGGGGGGAGAGCACGTGTCACCAGAATCAGTGTAAAAATACTGGTTTTGAACAAGAGGGTTTGCTGACATAATGAAATTAAAATCTTACTCCCTTTAAACAGGCATGCCATACACTATTATATGTTTATAATCTGCCAACAAACAGAGATAGCAAAAGTGTCAGTAATAGACTCAGGCGTTTGTCAGACAACTGTGGAGGGAAGGTGCTGAGCATTTCTGGAAGCAGTGCAATTCTCCGTTTTTTAAATCAAGAAAGTGCTGAACGGGCTCGGAAGCGAATGGAAAATGAAGATGTTTTTGGTAACAGGATTGTAGTGTCTTTTACTCCCAAAAACAAAGAACTTAATGAAACAAAAAGCTCCAGTTTTGTGGGAACTGAAAAGGTGAAGTCTCCTAAAAAAATTAACAAGAACACAAAGCTGTGCCTCCTCAACAAAGACTCAAGTGATCAGTCTTCTGGTACCAAAGGCTCTGCTGGGAGAGGATTCCAGATTCACGGATCTATCATCAAACCCACAAATGTTAAAAGTTTACAGGTATTGTTCTACCTTGTTCAGTATTCTTGCTTTTCCTCATGTTCTGATGATTGCTTCATTACAGCTTTATCTTGTCAGTCCTATTTAATGAATAACTGTACTGTATAGTGACGTTGGTTTTTCCCCCCCGCCACCTTTTTCTCAATTTGGAAATGCTGCTGGTACTTACTGAGTCTTGAATCTTAGGCCAGTTTTGACTTTTGTATTGGTGTTGAGTGTAACAATCTAGAGTGATCCACTTTGCTAGTTTTAAGGAAAACTAGGGTGGATCTACAGTGCAGCAAAAATATTTCAACTAATTGACAGTTTACTATTTTCTGTCACAGAAAATAAAGTATTCCTGGTTACGAAGTGCCAATGAAAATGCTGTTAAAGAAAAATTTGTCAGTTATCTAGGTTTCCATCACAAGGAAAGTCTCTGGCAAGGAATGTCTGGTGCTTTTGTGCTGACCTTTCATCTGCTGCTTATAGGAGCTGTGCCGCCTTGAATCAAAGACCATCAGTAGAAATACTGAAAACCAGCAAGAACATCTAAGAGAACAAATTCCTTCTCCTCAGAGTAACTCCAATGCAGCGATTCCTGTGTCTCTGGCAACCAAAAAAATTGGAACAGGAGAATCATCCTGTAAAAGTAGTCAGAAGTACGTTTAAAAATAAAGACATCAATGTTAGCTACACTTTTTTCAATGTAAATTCTGCAACATAATGTGTTTTCTTTTTCTTTTTTTTATATATATTTGTAAATAGAAGAGAGACCTCTGCTTCCAGGAGCATTACCAATTCCCCTGTAGAGAAAAAAGATAAAGATGAAACTGTATTTCAGGTCAGCTATCCTTCTGCTTTCAGTAAGTTGACGGCCTCAAGACAGCTCAGTCCTTTACTCATGCCTCAGAGTTGTTGGTCATCTCGGTAAGTGTGTCTTGTTTGGGAGGTGAAGTGAGACTTCAGTATATATGTTGATTATTGACAGCTGCATATGGAGTTGCGTATGCTAAGCCCATTACTTTAATACGCTGATTTATGTGGAGGCAAAAAGGAAACCATGATGGTGCTGCATAAGAGCTAACAGAGGGTGGATGTAAATATAAGATGGAGTGAACTCTCTTTCAGAAATTTATTCTGCGGCAATTGTTTCCTGCAAACTTTGTCTTTAAAGCTTCTGAAAAATCTTCAGAGGTATTATAGACATTTTATTCCTCTTAATTTTAGTGCCTTTGACATTCCCAGTAGAAATTTATCCAGGCCCATTAAATCTCATAGACTCAATTATCTGGCCTTTGCCAGTTACTAAAATCACATCAATGAATTTGACTTTTTTAATGTGTTAGTAAGATAATAGACTTGGTGTCAAATATATTAAGTTGGATGACTTTGAAACATAAGCGAATTATTTCTTATGTGAAGAAAGGAAATATTTGTCTTGTGATGTTTTGCTTGTGTTGAAACTTGTTTTGCCTGCACGCATATGTACTAGGAAAATACCTTCAAAGTGCTGTATTTGTGCACTTGACCTGTGTTTATTTTCTGATTAATTTTGAGATGTATATATCAGAATTGTGCAATAGCTACTTTAGCTCATAAATGTTTTTGTTTTACCCAGGAGTATGTCTCCAAACCTCTCAAACAGATCATCTCCACTCACATTTAATGTAGTAAATCATACCAGTGGTACAGACTGCCCTGATCCTTTTGCAAATGGTGCAGACATTCAGATCAGTAATATAGATTACAGATTGTCCAGAAAAGAGTTGCAGCAAAATTTACAAGAAATTTTCTCAAGACATGGCAAGGTAAAGGCTAAAATACCTTTATTAAATCTGTTTTTTAAATACTTCCTGTTTATGTATTTATGGACATGTTTGTGGTCTAGCTTTAAGTGAGTAGGAAGGGAAAGCTATCCAAACATGACTTTCCAACTTTGTTAAAAGGAAGTGTTGTGCTTTTTCCTTTAAAAAGACTAGATCATCACTTATACTAGATTCTTAATTTGCATGTGGTCTTCATAGATCTGGTATTCTGAAGTTTTGTGTATAAAATTCTTAGTAAGTGGCTCATTAGTCATTCAGGGAAGAGGTTTAGACTTTAGCTGCATAACCTTTTTAAGCTGTAAAGTTGAATTCCTAATGTCAGCTTAAAAATCACAGTAAAAACTGAGGACGGGGCAACCCCCGATATCAACACAGGCTGGGGGATGAAGGGATTGAGAGCAGCCCTGTGGAGAAGGACTTGGGGGGTACTGGGGGATGAAAAGCTGGACATGAGCCAACAATGTGTGCTTGCAGCCCAGAAGGCCAACCATATCCTGGGCCGCCTCAAAAGAAGCGTGGCCAGCAGGTCAAGGGAGGGGATTCTGCCTCTCTGCTCTGGTGAGAGCTCACCTGGAGTACTGCATCCAGCTCTGGAGCCCTCAGCACAAGAATGACAAGGATCTGTTGGAGTGGGTCCAGAGGAGGGCCACAAAAATGATCCGAGGGCTGGAGCACCTCTCCTATGAGGCCAGGCTGAGGGAGTTGGGGTTGTTCAGCCTGGAGAAGAGAAGGCTGTGGGGAGACCTTATTGCAGCCTTTCAGTACTTAAAGGGGGCCTATAGGAAGGATGGGGACAATCTTTTTAGCAAGGCCTGTTGTAATGGGACAAGGAGTAATGGTTGTAAACTAAAGGAGGATAGATTTAGACTGGATATAAGGAAGAAATATTTTACAATGAGGGTGGTGAAGCACTGGAAGGGGTTGCCCAGAGAGGTAGTGGAAGCCCCATCCCTAGAAACATTCCAGGTCAGGTTGGACAGGGCTCTGAGCACCCTGATCTAGTGAAAGCTGTCCCTGCTCACTGCAGGGGGGTTGGGCTAGATGACCTTTAAAGGTCCTTTCCAACCCAAAGCATTTTATGATTCTGTGATCAAAAAAGACATGGAGGGTGTGAATCGGTAAAAAGCAACTATGCAAGGAGAGGTCATTTCTGCAGCGGTTTTATTTCTGTCTGATCTGTAGATGACATTCTTCTGGCATAATCTTCTACATGGGAAGATGGTGCTTGTGTTAAACGAGTATCATGGTCTTGCTTTGGCCAAGGCTTATTGCACTCAGTTCTTGTTTGCATTGTCCTGTTGGCCATGGTTCATCATACTCGGTTCCCGTTTGCATTGTATTTGGCTCTTGGCCAAAGCAAGAATGTGCTACTCTTGTGTTGGCTTGCCTTGGGTTAATGTTTTGTGATAAATGTATAAGGTGTTTTCTTCCTTTCAGGTAAAAAGCGTAGAGCTCAGTCCTCATACAGACTACCAGCTGAAGGCTACAGTTCAGATGGAAAATCTGCAAGAAGCGATCAGTGCTGTCAACAGTCTTCACAGATACAAAATTGGCAGTAAAAGGATCCAGGTCTCATTAGCAACAGGAACTGCTAGTAAATCACTCTCTCTACTTAGGTAATAAGCACTTTGGCATCCTCTTAATTGCTCTAGCATGCATTTAGTAGCTGAGAGATCATTTAAAATGCTGAGCAAAGGAATGATAGGGAAATAAAGTAAAATCTGTCTTATGACCTGATTAATGTGTTAAATACAAGTAGGCTAGTTTTCAGTTTAGCATTTTTACACTGCTTATATTTTAAGTTGCATCTGAAGAGTCTAGATCTCTGTTTAATAGTGTTTTATAGTTTCACCACTATTCTTTCGTAATACTGATGTACCTCTATAACTTAGTTTGTATAGCTGAGTTAAGATTACACTTGGCTTCTTTATTTCTTCTTTCTTCCAAGAAAGTGCACATGAATTTCTCTTTGAGGGTGGGATTCACAGTTTAAATGCTGTTGGTGTTTCTTTGATCTCCATTTTCTATATGAAAGATGATAGAACTAGAGTGCTGATGCTAGTGAGAATACAAGTATTTTCTGTTTCAACTTTTTCCTTACTGAAGGAAAGCATTACAAAAAAAGTTGTCTTCACTTCTTTTCACAGAAAGCTACAGTGAAAATAGTGCTTGGAGTGTTGAGTATTCTACAACTATGTACTACTTGCCGTTGTATAATTTACAACTTTATTTCATTCTTGCCTTTTGGTTTATGCCTGTTCAAAGTTCTTAATGTAATGACCAGACTGGTAACTTCTAATGCTGCAGCTTTAATGTTGCATTTTATAGATGCTCGAAATCTTACCACCACCTATGAAAGATGCAGCTCCTTAGAGATGTAACCTAATGAGTTAGCAGAAATGTTACTACTTGCACTCCCCTGATCTGAACTGTCAATGTTTGTAATGCTGGGATGGAAGGGAATGTACCTTGTCGTGTTATATTCATAGTTCATAAACTGCATCTGTAAATATCTCACCAATTTGGGCTGGAGACTAATACTAACAGATTAATTCTGTGCTAATGTTACAAAACTTTTTTTTATAGCTCAGAAACAATGTCCATTCTGCAGGATGCACCTGCTTGTTGTCTGCCTGTGTTCAAATTCACAGAAATCTATGAAAAAAAGTAAGTTCTCAGTTGTTTTTTCTCTAGTACTTCTAAAAAGAATCTGATCTTGTGTGACTGTTTACAGTGAATTATAGAGAGTAATAGAATGGACTTTTATGGGTTTTTTTGTTGTTGCAGCATATTATCTATCCAGAGCAATGGCTGTATTACTGGCCTTTCTTAGGGGGTTATACTTTCAGTATTTTACTTCATTTTAATACATTGGGACGAATAGATTAGTTACCTTAACATTTTACATAGAATAGTTTCTAGTGTATTCCTGTTTCTTAAACAAAAATGCGGATTACTGCATTTTCTAGCTGCGTTTATAATGTGTATTTATTTAAATTCTTTTCTTTTAGATTTGGGCATAAGTTAATTGTATCAGACTTATATAAACTAACGGATACTGTGGCAATCCGTGACCAAGGAGGTGGGCGGCTGGTGTGCCTTTTACCCAGCAGCCAAGCCCGGCAGAGTCCATTGGGATCTTCACAGTCACATGATGGTTCATCAGCAAACTGTAGTCCTATAATATTTGAAGAGCTGGAATATCACGAGCCTGTTTGTAAGCAGCATTGCCTGAATAAAGACTTTATGTAAGCTGTGTATAAAATACTACAAAATCTTAAAAATATTTGAACAGCATTTAACACTTACAGGTATATTAAAGTTGAGGGGTGTGTGTATATATATTCATAGAGCATGCTCCAGTGACTGTTTATATGTTTACAAGAATAAGTCAGGCAGAAAATAGTGAGGTGGCACAGAATTTTCTGGGCAGTTCTCATGGATCAGTCTGTTCAGGTAAGATTATTGTATTCTAGCATGGCTGCCAAGATTGAATACCTTTTAAGCAGAAGCTGAAAGGTATGCTACCTTCCTGTGGTTATATAGGAAGGCTATACATACTAGAGATTTCTATTAGCCTGAATTTTATTACAGAATTATAGCTGGAACTGATCTTTCTTCTTTGTCCTCCAGCTACATTTAGTGAGTGATTCCTACTGGGTTGAAGATTTCCTGAAGCCATATATTAAATTTTTTGTTTTATAGAATTGTTTAGGTTGGAAAAGACCTTTAAGATCATCCAGTCCAACCATTAAAATTTTTTATTCAATAGCAGCCAGGTTGTGCTACTAAAGTAGTTATTAGGTGTTCACTGTTAACTGCATGTGCTGCTAAAATTTAATTTGAAAAGTTTAATGATGATAAAAATGTGGTCTTCTAAATTTTGCTTTTCTTCTGGAAACTTGCTGTAGCTGTATTAATTTTTGTGAAGAAGAAAAGATGGAAGCTGCTTGTGACTGTATATAGTGGTATTGTCAGGTAGTAGTATATTATGTGCATATAGTATAATATTTACTATGGGTGTGTATGTGAGCACAGGCATACTATGATAAAGCTATGTGTAGAATGAGCATATAAACTTCAACCTCTTCTTTTTACAGTGAGCATGAGTTTGATCCAGATTCTTATAGAATTCCTTTTGTGATTTTGTCTCTGAAGACATTTGCTCCCCAAGTTCACAGTCTTCTACAGACACATGAGGGTACTGTGCCTTTACTAAGGTAAAGTATTTTAATTTTAAAGGCTTTTAGTGTAAGGGTTGATAGGTTAAAGATTTAAAACTTTAGTGTTGTAATACTCTGAAACTACCTGTTGTATAAAAACTCTGTTTTTTATGTAAGGTGGTATCTTTTACAGCAAATAAGTGCCTTATGAAGTTGTTGTTTTTTGAATTCTTGTTGAGCAAAAAAGACACTTGTTTAAAATGTGCATTTTATAGAGACTTCTGTAATGTGTTAGTAAGCTGTTGAAGCCTCTTGCTCAGGAAGTGTCTGAAAACAGTGGTATTTTTAGGACAATTGTTATAGTGGTATTTTAGTGTATAATGGAAGCTTTTTTCTTCCAAAGTTTTCCTGATTGTTATATGTCAGAGTTCAATGATCTGGAAATGGTGCCGGAAGGACAGGGTGGTGTTCCTTTAGAACATCTAATTACCTGTGTTCCTGGAGTTAACATTGCCACTGCGCAAAATGGCATTAAAGTTATTAAATGGATACATAACAAACCACCGCCTCCTACTTCAGGTAAATATTTCTATTCAAAATTTTTTCTCTGAACTAATCTTTCTGCTAAAAAATTAAGAGTAGCATAAACTAAACATCTTGTATTATTGTTAAACTTTTTATAAAGAGAAATTTTTAGCTTGAATGTTCATTCTTTTTTTTTCTCCTGTGCTCTAGCCTGTGTCGTGAATAAAGTGCAGTGTTTAGTGGAAGACTGTTAGTGAAAGGTTCAGTAATACTATTTTTTTTTTTTAGATCCGTGGCTTCTACGTTCTAAGAGCCCTGTAGGTAATCCACAACTTATTCAGTTCAGTAGAGAAGTGATAGATCTACTTAAAAGCCAACCATCCTGCGTCATACCTGTCAGTAAATTCATCCCAACGTACCATCATCACTTTGCAAAACAATGCCGTGTGTCTGACTATGGGTATTCTAAATTAATGGAGCTGCTTGAAGCAGTGCCTCATGTACTGCAAGTGAGTTATATGGCACTGTTCCTTTTAACTTGGGGAATTGTACTTGTATCTTCAACTGTCTGAATTACTGGTTGGTATTGTATAATATATGCTATGCAATTACCTAGTCCACCTTGAAAGAGATGGTTAACTGAACCTTGGAGTGTAATTGTTGTCTTTTTTGGTTTTGTTTTGTTGTTTTAATTGTCCTCACCCTTTCAAAATAGCTTCTGGGGAAATTAAGGCTTTATTTAATCTAAACCTCGGGAATAAAGTTTGAAGGTGCTTTTAGCCTGTGGCTAGCACTTGAGTAAAAGGCTTTAATTGTGCTATTTATCATAAGAACACAGCAAATGCTGAGTGCTTGTAAGTTAGCTGTGATGGGTAGCCTGTGACTTGAAGGATTTCTGTGTGAAATAAGTCATGTGGCCTTATGTTACAAAAAAAGAAACACTATGGTCACATCAGCTTACTACTTTGACCACCAGTGGGTTCTAGAATTTTAAAATACCTAATACAAATGTGCAACAGTTGCAATAGCACTCGCGGAAGAAGCATTTCCTAATTTCTTGATGAAATGTGTCTTAGTACAGAAAGCATATGGCTTCATGAGGCTGCCTTTCCAAACACTGTCTCTATTGCCTTTATTTCTAGCCTACCTATACTAGAACTGGCCTCTAAATATCTTGTAAAAGAATTTACTGAGGATGCTAGATGTGAGTGATCAAATAAAATTTTCTTTCAGATTCTTGGTATGGGTTCCAAACGCTTGTTAACCCTAACGCACAGAGCTCAAGTGAAGCGCTTTACTCAAGACTTACTGAAGCTTCTCAAATCTCAGGCCAGTAAGCAAGTTATTGTGAGGGAATTCTTACAGGCTTATCACTGGTAAGTTATCTTTAATGAAACAAGAACAAGCGTGCAGGGCATGTCTATCAACAGTGGTTTTAAAACCTAGTGCAAGACAAGTCAGCACTTTAAATCTTAGTACAAAACTGTGGCAGCTATATCACCTCCTCATTGCGAAGTGGAGGTTCAAACTTCTAATGAAAACAAAAATTAAAAGCTTTCTGGCAGACTTTACTGCTTCCTTTAGTACTTGGTTCATTTCACTTTATTGGAGTTTGAAATTAATTATTGTATTTCATTAGTTCTCTTTGAAGCCATGACTGCAAGGTTGGATTTAAGCAAGCAGGTCATGGCACATTAACATGAACAATAAAGGGGAAATTTAGTGTTAGGCTTTCTTTTGAGGGAAATATAAAATAAATAGACTGATTGTCAATAGATACTCTTACTACTTTAACTGGATCTAGCAATGGTCCAAAAATGAGGAGTAATACCTGTCTTGCTATTGCCAGGAAGAACATTCTGTTTTAGCATGGTAAAAAATAGGGGTGTTTTTTGAAGAACCAAGAATGTTGCTGTCCTTAATATGAAGATAGCCAGTAGTCCTTAATATGAAGATAGCCAGTAGTCCTTAATATGAAGATAGCCAGTAGTCTGTAATGTGCTTTGAGGAAACCATAGCATCTTAGTGCTACATGTGGTCTGCCTTTGCATGTATGCTATTGTGCTGCATGTGCTGACAGCTCCTTCTTGGGAATGCATGCTTCTACTTAGATTTCCACTATTGGCAAAAATAAATTATTGGTTGGTTCTAAATCTACTAAATGTGCATCTCCATTTTAGTCAGCTCTGGCCATTTGTTGAATAAGAATATATGTGAAGTGTCCTTGCTTCTGAGAGATTCCTGTTAGTGAGGTGGGGAGAGTACAATACCTTTTAATATATTACATGGTATTGTAAACCTTAATACGGTGCTTTCAAGGATATGGTCTCTGCCTTCTCTTGAGACCTAATGTTGTTTAAGAAGAGCATATGTCTGTAACTATTAAGCCAATACAGACTGAAAGGGTAGCCATATAGAGCTGTATAACATAATTATATTTTTCTTAAATCACTTAAAACTTGAGCTTGAAAAATATTAATTTATATTGTCACCATGACTAGTTTGAGGCATCCACTCGTTGGTATGTACAGCTCACTTTTCCAGTGTCATGTGAACTATCAGTGTATCTTATTTTTCTGGTTAGAATGGATAGATAATTTGAACTAAGAGTACTTTTCCCCTTTGTTTCACATGCTAGTATTATTGCCGATATGAAAATTACGCTTTTTTAGGATTTGAGGCTTATTCTCTCATCTTACATGTTTTTTGCTTATGCAGCATGCATTAATGCTTATACTATACAATTTTCTGAAACTTCCAGGTGTTTCTCTAAGGACTGGGATGTTACTGAGTATGGAGTGTGTGAACTGGTTGATATTATATCAGAAATTCCAGATACAACCATCTGTTTATCACAGCAAGACAATGAAATGGTAATTGGTATTCCCAGAAGAGGTATGTCCATGGATATGTTTTTACTATTGCCAAAGAAATTGTTCTTTGACTATTTTAGTACTAACTAAAATATGTAGGGGTGACTTAGATTTTTTTGGTAATTGTGTTTCTACCCTCAAACTTGGTTATGAACTTCTAGCAAAATGAATTTGTTGTTCTAGGAGCACTTAGAACAGACAGGAGAGCAGGTGGCAAAACACATAAAATGATGTTGCTACTTCTGCATGTAGTTAAACTCTGTGGAATGATTAGACAGTGGGTTGTTTCCAGACAGCAAAAATACCAACATATTTGGCTCTTTAGTATCTTCTAAAGTGCTGATCACCTGATTATTTTGGACTTTAAACATGTAAGCTTAATAAAGGTCTTCAGTGGTAGAAGAAAATAGTGACTTGGTGTGATATGTGATTAAGCTGAAAATCAACCACCATATTTTCTTATTATATACTGTTGCATTTTGTAAGTGTGTTGGTACATAGCTCTTCCTTTGTTTTTTAATTTTAGAACGTACACAAGAAGAAATTGAAAGAACCAAACAATTTTCTAAAGAGGTAGTAGACTTACTGCGCCATCAACCCCATTTTCGAATGCCCTTCAATAAATTTATTCCTTCTTATCACCACCACTTCGGTCGTCAGTGCAAGCTTGCTTACTATGGTTTTACAAAACTACTTGAACTCTTTGAAGCCATACCAGATGTCTTGCTTGTAAGTTCTGAAATTCTAAGCTGTACTAAAGCATTTTTAAGATCTGCACAACTGTTGCAGCAGGGGTTATATTTCTCATTAACTTTAGTGTGAGTTATAAACTGTGCACCTGTAATGTTAGACAGCTGTTCTTAAAAAAAAGTCTTTGATATAGCTATTTTGGTAAAATAGTCTGAGGCTTTTAGCACATTCAGGCTAAGTTTATTAACAAATTCAAGTTTTCTAAATTGGATTAAATTTACAAAATTCAGTGCATGAAAATTAGAGCTAAGTTTCATTAAAGTTGTGTTAAACTTGCTTTAAAGTTAATAACTATTTAATTGCTTATTTTGTTGTATTTCAGAAATTACATAGTTTTGCTTGCTATATAGGTATCTTTTGAGGTAGCTGAGCCCTGCTACATAGCAAATGATTGCCTGCAAGCACTGAATTTTAGTTGCAGATTACACTTTTTTCATCCAGACTAGGCAAATCACTTTAACAAAGTGTAATTTCTGTTTTGTAGGTATTGGAATGTGGGGAGGAGAAAATTCTCACACTCACAGAGGTGGAACAAGTCAAAGCAGTTGCTGCCCAGTTTGTTAAACTGCTGCGGTCTCAGAAAGATAACTGCCTTATGATGACTGATTTACTGACAGAGTACAGTAAAACATTTGGATACACACTGCGTCTTCATGACTATGATGTTAGCTCAGTTCCAGCTTTAATGCAAAAACTTTGCCATGTTGTAAAGGTAATCTTTTATCTTTGTAGTTTATTCCTCTGAAAGGTAAGTAATATTGTGTTAAGGTATTTCCTGTCTCAAGCTATAGGTCTCAGTGTGCTTAATACTGTACTCTAGAAACAATATTTCATTAAGTCGGGGGGCAGAGGAAATTCCAAGGGATTTCAAACATAGCTTCTATATTCCTATGATGTTCTCCTTGTTCTTTTGTTACCTTTCAACTTTCTCTGGGGAAAACTCATGCTTGTTTAGCAATTAATGAGTAAAATGTTGTATTATAGTACTTATTTTAAAAATACAAATTGTTTTTTTTCCTACTTCTAACTGTGTAAAAGCAATCATTTCCTGATAACTATAGTAGTTATCAGTCTCCTAATGTTTTATATTCCTGGTTTTTTTTGATCTATGGTTTGAGGCTTTGACTCTGAATGTAAATAGATAGATGGTCTTACATGTCAGTGGAAAAGAAAGGTTACATCTATGTGGATGTGGGCATGCTGGTTTAGTTGCTCCAATTCTGTTAATTTAGCAGCTGGTGTCCAAGCTGGAGCTCAGTCAGGTCCAGCTGGTTTGGAACAAAGAGTAAAATCATGTCTACCATGTGGACAGAAACTGCTACACAGCTTTTGTATCTTTAAAGTAAGTTTTTTCCATGTAAAAGCTTCTTTATCCTGTGTGCTTTTGGCTAGGGCAGTATCAGATGCTGGTATGTAATGTCAGATACAGCTGTGCTCAAACAAACCCCAGCTACACAACTTACAAATTAATCTCTTCCCTAACTTCATTCCCAATTCATTTTCCTAGGTTGTTGACACAGAGTCTGGCAAGCAAATTCAGCTGATAAATAGAAAATCTCTGCGGACACTGACTGCCCAATTGCTAGTCTTGCTGATGTCCTGGGATGGAACATCCTTTCTCTCTGTTGAACAGCTTAAACAGCATTATGAAACAATCCATAGTACTTCGCTTAATCCGTGTGAGTATGGATTTATGACCTTGACTGAACTCCTGAAGAGTCTGCCTTACTTGGTTGAGGTATGTAAGCTCTTTTTTCTTTCTAGTGTGTTTCATACTTTGAAAAGATATTGTGACTAGAGGATACAGAATTACGCACTCTAATTCGTTCTCTTTTCTTTTTCTAATAGGTTTTTACTAATGGTGCAGCAGAAGAATATGTGAAGCTTACAAATCTGTATATGTTTGCAAAGAATGTAAGGTCCTTACTTCACACTTACCATTATCAGCAGATTTTTCTTCATGAGTTCCCAGTAGCATATAACAAATACACAGGAGAAGTGCTGCAACCTAAAACATATGGATGCAATAATTTAGAAGAGCTCTTAGGAGCAATTCCACAGGTGTGAAGAATTCTGTTTTTTGCACAATTATATTGAGATTTCTGTGTGGATTAAAAATAGTTACACAACTATGGTTTCTGTAAATTGGTGTGAATTACTGGAGTACCTTTTCCAAGGAGGTTTATACTGGTTGTGTTTTTAATAGCTTCTGAGAAATGTGGACTGTGTAATAAGAACAAGAAAATATTTTCCTTTTTACATATTTTGGTCAAATTTCACTTAAGAACTGTTCATGGTGAGGCTGCAAACATCCTTGGCATCTTTATCAAGTGAGATAATTGATTTCTGTCTTGAATGAATGAACAACTGTACAGTACTGAAGCTTCATTTTCATCAGGGTAGATTATTTGTTTTATGAGTGAAGAGTTGTAGGGCCTTGTCAGAAGTGCCACATAGTGGAATTTTGTTGCGGCATCTTGTCATCCACACGTCCTAAGTGCTCTAGGATAATTTTGTGACCCAGTTCATGACTATAAGATTTCCTTTAAGTAAATTAATCTTTCTGGGAAGTGACAAAATGGAATTTTGCAACTCCATGTTTAAACATACAGTTTTTTGTTAATACATAGTTAGTACACTTTCTAGCCCTGTAGTTTGCCTTTGGCATCAATTATTCTAAGACAAAGCTTTTACTTGGGTAATGTAGTACAACTAGCAACATGATTTAGTTTACTTTTAGAAATAATGCCAGTGCAAGGCTAGATGAAAGGCAGTGAGTAAGCCACTTCAGTCTTTGAGCTTAGTATGATGTCTAATTCTGCTTTTCTTTTCCCTATAGGTGGTCTGGATTAAAGGACATGGCCATAAGAGAATTGTGGTACTAAAGAATGATATGAAAAGTAAGCCATTTCAATTTTGAGCATTATCTTAGTTTCCTTTTTTCTTTTTTTAAGAGATGACTTGAAGTAAATGAACCAAATGAACTTGCCTTTTGTAGCTCGTTTTAGCTCACCTAGTTTTCCCCCTGCTGATCATGTGGATGATCATGGAAATCAACTTGCTGACAATAATGGACATATTATGGAGACCCCAGGATCCACTTCATCAATGGAACTAAGTCTAGGAACACCTAGCAATGGTAATGCAAAATTGATTTATATAAGAAATTTATTATTTTAGGGGAAATAAGCAGAGTAATGAAAGCAGCATGGGGAAAGCTGTGTGAGTTAGTCGATCTGAACTTCTGTAGAAATGCTTTATGGCTTGAAAGCTGTTGAACTTCTCCCAAAGTGTGTAGTTAGGCATGTGTCCCCTTGACAAGGGCATCTGTTGTCCTCAGCTGTCAGCATATACATAGCTGCTATAATACTGTTTCCCATGTATTTTGGTGGAAATTTAAGTCTATAAGCATAAAGTTAATGAGAAAAGATGGTCAGTAGCAGATTCTGCTAGGAATATCTCCTGTATTCGTATGAGAATGTAGTGCTCTTTTGTGGTGTTTTTATGTTGATTTTGTTTCTTGCAAATAATAGTAATGACAGTCCTGTTGGTATAAATCTGTCTCCAAATAAAAATAACTGGGAAATGGTGACCTCATAGTTCATATCTTGCTGTGGTCTCCAATTCTTTTACTACCTGCAGGTTGGAGAACTTGTGGAATGGTTCTTGAGTTATTATTTCAGAAGTCTAGGCTTGTCCCTTTTAATAAGGGCAAGTCACTTTATTTTGAAACTTTCAGCTTAATTTTCACACGTAAATGTGTTAGATGGTACATAAACAGTTCATAGGATATTGGTATGTCTGCAGGGGAGTTGTCTGGTAGCTGGCCCTTCTCTGTTAAAGACTGTTCCTGTAGGACTTGTTTCCTCAGCTCTTCTATTACTCAAGTTTGGCAGATACTGGATTTTACTATAGGGGTGTATATTTACTCAGGCAAGCAGTAATTTTAACATACTATTGCTTTGTCTGCTGTGTTGTAATTAGAGGCTCTTGATCCAGCAAAGTAACTCTTGAATGAATCTGAGGTTAGTTAGCATAAATTGAATTAGTTTGATATTAGTGTTTCAAATACAGCATAGCTCTCAAATCCTCAGAATCACATCTGAAGACTTTACATTTATCAACTCTGAAATAGTGACACCTTCACAGCTTACAGATACTGTGAAAGATATTTCCTTATTTTTGTAGTTTCTAATCAAACTGAGCAAGAACTACTTTGCCTCACAAATACATCTCCCGTTGACCTCTTGTGTGAGCCAGTTCCTTCCTGCCTACCATCCCCGCAACTGAGACCTGATCCAGTGGTTCTTGAGTCTGCAGACCTCATTCAGTTTGAGGAACGCCCTGCACCTCTCTCTGGTAAGAGTTTGCTTGCGTATGTGGTATTACTTATGGATGATAACTTACACAATTTGGAAAATGAAGCATCAGACAAATGGTTGATTATATAAAGCACCATTTAAATACATACATATGTATATATATCGCACAATGGGATGTGCTGAAAATGCAGGTGGCTTTCATCAGAAACTCTTGAGTACTGACCATAAGTACTCTGCTGTGATTCTGTGGGGTGAATTTTATAGGGACCTTATTCACCACTAAAATTGCATTTTGCCAGCCTGTAGCAACCTTTTCACCACAGTAATTTCATAGTGCTTTTCTGAGCACTGAGAGACTTAATGTGTGAGAATTAAATTAAACCTTCTAAATAGTATGTGATGCAGACGGAGCCACAAGCAAACATCACATCAGCTGCAGAGGTGAACATGACACATCTTCTGGCTTCAAATCAGGCTGACAAGTTCTTCTTAAATATTTTATTGCCTATTATCAGAGAAATATTCTTTATTTTTCAAGACCAAAGCATCAATAAATTGAGTTGTCTTATTTATTTTAGAGATAATGATTTTAACAGAAGAGGAAAAACAAAGAATTGTTACCACAGCTCAAGAAACATTGACCTCTGGTTCTGTGGTGTCTAACACCATAGAGAGTGCTTCAGTGCCTCCCTGTCAGTCCTCCGAAACCCAACTAAACAAGGAAGCAATGGACAGCCCAGCCAAAAAGCAACACAAAAACAAGGTGAAGTTGGCAGCAAACTTTTCACTTGCACCTGTAACCAAGCTTTAACTCTTTCTTTTTAGTGTGAAAGACAAATACCTATGGACTCTGCACAAAGTAAAGCTATTCGCTAGCCCTTACGTATTTTAATGAAAGGCCTAGAAGAATTAATTTGTATTTAATGTATTCTGTGAAGATTTTGTTCCTTTTACACTGAACACAGCTGTTAGCAGAGCAGATTTTTTCTATTATTTTGAAAAAAAATTCTGGCATTCATTAAATTATTCTTAAATTTTACAGTTTTTCATAAATGTGTGTTCAGTAAAAGCAAAATATTAATTCAACTAAAATGGAACAGATTTTATTTTCTTTAAGCCTTGTTGGTGGTGTAATCATACATGTAGCATATTGTATTCTATAGGCTGTTGCTTACTGGTATTGTTTCAGACAGTATTAATAAAATGCATGATCTGTCTTTCAAAAGCCTGTTGAGAAATTTTAACTTGCTGACATGAAATGACAAGAGTGAGGGAGTTGTACTCCAGAGGAGAAACTTGTTCTCTGACCTTTCAGATGACTTGTAACTGCATTGGAAATTCTTTTGGCTAAAGATGTCTGTAGAAGATTATGTGGATTTTTTTGTAAAACTTGTTTTAAATGTTTTCTGTAGCTTTCAGTTCCATTTAGGAGCTTTCCAGGATATGGATGCTTTAAGCTTCCCTTTTATATTTAGTTCCAGTCTGGCATCGATTTGGTTAAGGAAAAGACTGTCTTAGTGTTGTGGGTTTAAGATACAGACACACACATTTTATTGTGTCTAGAAATGAAGTTAGGAAGATTCTGATATTTCTGAAATATGCATTTAATGCATAAATTACAGATAATGGAGCAGGTCTTACTAAAACGTTTTGTGATGGAAGGTATTGATGCTATTTCCACCTGTAAGGAAAGTTCTAACTACATGTGGAAATGCTAAGGTTGTTCTGCTTAACCTTGTTTTCTATTTTTAAGCATGTTCAGTAAATGGGAAGCTTATTCTTTGATGGTGCTGTCTTTTAGCTGTGTCTGTTTTTATTCTAAAACTTACTCCTAGTGTTGGAAGCTTTTTTCAATTTGTGGTATCTTGTGTTGGCTTTTGAAAGGGCCAGCCTTGGAAGAGAGGTTAAGTCAGTGGATGGCCTTAACTCTAGTTAGCAGAAATGTCCAGTGTATGAGACTTTATACCCATTCTGGGTAACCGTGGCATTTACAATGGGTTGTATTTGCCAGGCAGCAAACAAATTGCTTGTAGTGGTGAAAGAACCTATACTAGAGGTTTTCCACTGGCCAACTGAATATTTTTTTAGGTGGATTCTATTGTAATACACAAAAGATGGAACACAGGCTCTAATTTCTCAGCCAGCCACAGGAAATGCCACTGAATAATGGCTATAGACAGAATTTTACTAGTCAGATTTTGTTATAAAATCTTTTAAACTTAGGCAAGCATTACCAGTAGTGAACTTATAGCCATTGTGAATGCAGAGAAACACTTGGAAGTTTTTCTGAGCATTATGGCACAGTATTTTGAGACCTTACTAAACCTCTACAGACATACTGCTACGGAAAGAGAAATTTAGAAGTAAGCTTTCTTGGAATGCTTTTAATGAGTTAAATGCAAGAATATCTGCTTTCACCTTAAGTTTGATAAGGTTAACACTGATCAGTCTAGATCTTTGTTTCAGAAAAGCATGCATTGGAGAAAAGACCAACCTGAAATTATCTTTTCATGAGATGTAGCTACAAGTCATCTGGAGTACTAAAGAAAACCAGGTTTTTGCTTCAGAGGAAAATACGGTATTTGTCAAAGTGAATGTGGTGGTTATACCATTTATGGAGGTCAGCATATCTTTTCTGGATTCATGTGTGATTCTGATGAAATCGCTGTTTGAAAGTAATAGAATAATACTTTTGAGAAGTTGTGTTCATAGTGTAACAAAATAGCTAACTGAATTGCAATATATTTTTTTATCCAAAGGGTTAAATGAATGATGTGACTTACAGATTTAAAAGCATTACAACCATGAAACTCTTTAATTTAACAATTAAATGTACTACTTCAGATTCATGTCTGTTCAAAAAAAATTGTCACTGAAGCCCTCAATTTATGCACTATCTTTTTCTTGGAATGGGAAGGAGAAGAAAAAATTCTTTTCTTAGCTGTCTACTTTGTTTGGACACTTTCTTTTGTGGCTCAAGTGCTGTTTTGTGTGTTGGGACCAAACAGTTGTGTCAATAAAATTTTCAAGCAAGCATAACCCTTGTCCTTGTCTGAAGACCTGAAAAAAACCTGTCCTAGTATCCTTAACTTGCTGTGTCACATTAAGTTTAATTATCCGGACAGAGCAGAGTGCTAAAACTTGGGATTTCAGTGAAGACAAAAGAAACACCAAAAATCCACAACCTGCTGTTCTGGAGAATGAGGGCTTTCCCAATTTTTGCAATTTAGCTGTTAGCAGATGCTCTCAGTATCTCTCACTGCTCTTCATATAACATAATGTTTAAGGTTTATTTTAGAAGGAAACTCCTATTTATCAGCCTAAAGAGAAAAATGGAGAAAGGAGTGTAAATGCAACAGGTGGAAGTGAGGTGTTCCTCCTGAGTTTGTCTCACTTTAAAATGTTAAAATTGATGTGAATAATGTCATATGGAGTGTTACTGGGCAATAAAGTTAACAAGTCACTTTTGAGTTATAATAACCTTGTTTTCCAGCTTGCTGAAGATAGTAATTATCCAGGAACTACAAGTCTGGCAACCAAGTTACTTTGCAGCTTCACTAGATTGCTTTGAACTTTACTTCAGAATTGAACAAAATAATTTAAAAGAAAAATCTGCAACTAAATTGGACTGTTTTGTTATCTCACAGCTTTATGGACAAAAGTAAAGAGCTGGATGAGCTGCTCCTGACTTTCTCTTTGGTTTTTTTGTGGTCTTATTACATATTCTTGCTTAATGGAACTGTTAAGTGGAACAGTCTGTTAGAGTAAATGTCAGGCCTGCTGTAGGTAAGTGTTCACTTGACCTTGCAGAGTACTTGCTTGTTCAGTAAACAATTTTAAAGTAACTACCTAAAAAACTTATTTAGCAGGAAACTCTCCATAAATATCACTCTTTAAAAGGAGGGGCAGGCAATTTTTAAAAACTTTCTATAGCATCTTAAGCAACACCACAAACCGTATAATCACCACTCTAATTTCATTCTTTCAGTAGTTGTGAATGTCTTAAGTATGCATGAGTAAAATCTCTCATACCACCCGGTATGTGATTAACTTCAAAAGGTGAGTTTGACTTTAATTGTTCTTTTGTAATCATGCTGCAAACATTGCCACTTCTTTCATTCTCATTTTATGTTAAGCCATCTGTTTAAATTAGTAAAAAGTTTTTAAAAGTCATGATGGAAATAACTTGATTTTTTTTCTAAAATTAATATGGCTTGTTTTGTTTGCCATAATGTAACAGGACAGAGTGTAATTGCATGGTGAACTCTGGTTTAACTCCTATTTCTATTAACTGTAATTAAAAAAAAAAAAAGGCACAACAACTTGGGCATAATGCCAGAGAAGGGCATTAGGGAAGTGACTGACTTAGTTGATGTTTCAGGTATGATGTGGAATAATGCTGATAGGAAGCATGACTGTCTAAGAGAACAGAGAACATAAGGCTGTTTCTCAGCCTTTGAAGTTTCTGAACAGAGGAGCTGAAAGGCTTTTCCTTTGGACAAAGCAAAGCTTTTGGGTGTGGAACAGTAAGACAGAAAGCAATCTTTCTGTAGAATAGGCTGAGGACTTTGGTTTTGGCCACAAAGGACAGATTGCTTTCTGTATTTTAGAGTCTCAGGACTTTGGTATGGAGAGAAAAAACTGACTGCTTGAAGGGAAAAACACGGCCTTGCTTTGCTTAGATTGCCATTTACAGAAATGTGAGCAACTGAAAAACAGTTATCAGTGAAGCCTGCTTATCGGTCTGTGAGAGTAACCCTTTTAATTTTGTCACTTAGTTTCTTGCCTCTGACACTTGAAATGTGGTAAGTGTCTTTGCAGCTAACCTTTTTGCAATTTGACTATTTAATCTTTTGTACCTTTTGAGAACTAGAGTCTGAAAACTTTGGCTTTAAGTAATTTCTCATTCAAAGCTTGTTCAGTCTTTGTAGCCATAGAAAGTTAAATGCTGATGTACTTTAAAGTCAGCATTTTATTAATGTATAGTGTGATGTCTTAGAGTGGATGTATGCTGTGGAACAATTGAGACACCTAGTGATCTTTCAGACATTTTCCCACAATTTAGCTGGTTATTTGTTCAGAGGATGAGACACAATGTCTCTACTATTCCAGTGTGCATTACTGTTAACATAGTATTCCTTCTTGTATGGGCTGGTTTTATGTTTAATATTACATAGATGGAGAAAATTAGGAAGAAAAAACCCCAAACCTTAATTCAAGTGACTATTAAAATGGTTTGTAGTCCTATACATATGCTACAGGAAGCAGATTGATATAGACAATGCCATTTTACAAGAAATTTCTGAGATGCCACTTTCTAGGTATTATTTCTGAGCATTTTCTGTAAAGTAAAAAAGGTTTCTCTAGGGTAGATCAGTTTTTAAGGTCTTTTTTAGATGTTCCACTAGTCCTATCTAATCCTTAGCTGCATTGTATCTAGAATACCTATCTAAGAAAGATTCTGTTTGGTTCTTCCTCTTTTGGCTAATTGCAACTGACAATTGCATTTGTTTTCCCAAAGCATTTAAACAGTTTGGCTATAAGTAGTGACAAGCTTGACAGAAGCAGCCTGACCATGCTGGTTGCACTTAAAGGGAGAGTTTTTTGAAGTGCAGATTGGTGCATTTGAAGACATCTCAAATTTAAGCTCAAGCTATTAGGACAGGTTTCTTAAATGATGACTGAAGGTTGTTGCCAACAGACTTGGGATAAAGAGGATAGTGTGGATATTATGCAGTGAGACCTAAGCACCTTATCAGACTGCAGGCAAGTAATTTAATTTTACCTGAAGAGTAGGATAAACATACAATCTGTAAAGGGAATTCAGGAAGAAACAGTCAAGTTGTGCAAAAGGAGAGAGAGGAACAGTTCACATAATAGCCCTGTAAGCAGAGATTGCTTTCATATTTTCTGTTGCGTTTTTTTAAATGCTGATTTAGGTGTGGTGATAAAGGTGTGGGGGTGGAATATGACAAGTATGTGGAAACTTCTGGGATGCTCTCAGAGGACAGAATGCTAGGATGACATAATCATAAAATGGATTAGGGGAGGAAGAGGAAAACTTCCTGAAAACAGTATCTCTAAAAGCTTGTGGTCAGTATATTGAAGGAC